TGTGTGTGTGTGTGTGTGTGTGTGTATGTATACATGCAAACTTTTCTTCCCAGTTAACTGAATACAACCACTGAAGTTTTTTTCTTACTATTGTTACTTGATCGGTAGCCAAATTTTGTCGCAAATTAAATTATTTCGATAAGTTTATGAATTTAAATGAGCATAATTGGTAAATTAAATCAGCCCTAGCTTCTCTGGTTTATTTGAATGTTAAAAGGTTTATTTAATGGCAGTTAGTAGCCATATGTATAAATTTAAGCAAATAATGAAATATAAAAAAAACCCCACTAAAAATAGAAAATCAAAAAATGAAGATAGAAAACGAAAGAAAAATCGAGGTAAAAGAAATGTAACGACATTTAGGAAAGATAGTATAACATTTGTCTATACCACAACAAATTAAAACATGATTAAATTTGTTGAAGTATATAAATTGACTAAAACGAAAGGTACATACTCCAAGCAATGGAATACACTCCGTGTTGTATTTCGACTCTTTATTGGATCATCATCAGGCATCATACTACAGTATTGAAAACATAACTTCCAATACTGTACTTGCATTTTGCACCACCACCACTATGAATGAAGCAGGTTTGTCTCATAGGTTGACTGCACTATGTAATCACACCTTCCTGTTTGTTTTTTTTTGGAAGGGAAGAAGGGGAATCACCTTCTCGAGTAAAAATAAACCACAGACCACTAAAGATTGTACCTTAATGTCTCGGTCGATGACTGTTTACCTTAGTTTAGGCCTATTCATTTTTTGTGTTATGTCAAGTCAAGTTAGAAAACGGTTGTCATTACAGGTGTTTTGGTTATATCATTGTTGAATTTTGTGTGAAAATATGGACCACATTGTGTAGAAACAGGGCATTAACAGTGCAAATAAAATACATGACATAGCTTTATAAATCTCTAATTCAAGGCAGGTAGGCCTAGATTAGAGATGTATGATGCCTCAGTTAAAAGCGAAATGCCAAGAAAAATGGCTCCTCCAACCCCCGTAGTGACCCTTACTCTATTAAAAATTAGGTAGTACAAAAAACGAAAAAAAAAAGAAAAAAAAACAAAAAAAAAAAAAAAAAAAAATTGCATACAAAAAAGAAATCACCATATCTCACAAGTTTACAGCGTACAGTAAACAGAAAATGAATTAAACGCTATCTGATTTGTGTTTAAGGGCAGCAGACATTAAATGAGAAGGTTAGTATTGTTACGTGCATTCTCAACCTGTCTCCCCTGCTGTACTTTGTTAGGCCCTACTCTTATGTCTGTTTTGCATCTACAGTACTTCAAAATTGGTTTGCATTGATAGATTTCACTTTAAAATGTGTTGGTATTCTATGAAACGTTTTAAATATCATTGTCATATTGTCCATGTTCCTCCAAATTGTAAGCTTTAAACTTTAATACACGACATCATATTTCGTTTTGTGTTGAATTCTTTTAATCTTGTCAATACATACGGTCTACCAGGGAGTTGTTGTCACTCTGGTATAACAACTCCCTGGTATATCAACTTCTGTTAGAATTAATATTCTATGCTGTTTTTTGTTTTAGAAATCGAGTTAAATTTTACGCATAATTGCCATATAGGGTCTTCATTATACCAGGACGAAACTTCCGCTTGAGAACGCGCGAACATTACCCGGATATAGTAAGTAGTAATTACGGTTTCCATAATTCATATGAGCGTGTAGGGAATAGTTTTAACCCGGTTGACCAGAAATATCTTGTTGTACAAGTGATGGAAGTATCTAGGATATAATTGTCTCAGGAAGTATATGTAATAACAATACCATCTGGCCGAAGGGTAAAAAATCATTTAAAAAAAAGAGAAACATTTACTATATTGTTTCCTATGGAAGCACCTAAGTGCCATTCGACTTGACTTGTCAAGATAATTTATGTTGTCAAGTCGACATAATATACATATCATGTCGACATGTCGAGATCAACTATCTTGCCAAGACGACATACAATTTTTATTATGTCGACTTGTCAAGATAATCTATCTCGCCATGACAACATAACATTTTTAGTATGTCGACATGACATGATAATCTATCTCGCCATGACAACATACAATTTTTATTGTGTCGACTTGTCAAGATAATCTATCTCGCCATGACAACATACAATTTTTATTATGTCGACTTGTCAAGATAACCTATCTCGCCATGACAACATAACATTTTTATTATCGTCTTGGCAAGATAGTTGATCTCGACATGTCGACATATGTATATAATGTCGAATGGCACTTAGGTGCTTCCGTAGTTTCCCTTTTTTCTCACGGTACGCAATAAAATTATAGGAAATCTTGATAATAAATTTGGTAAGGAGAGATCCAATAAAATTATTATTACCAGTGGATATACTAGGTCCAGGCAGCACAGTAATTGATTTCTTTGGTCATTTTTTCCCAATAATTATTACCGGAAATTATGGTAATTTACAAATTATGTTTAAAGTCAATCAATTATCTCATCTATCCTAGGCCAAGTTTCCAGATACTGTATTTCCCCATGGTCTTGACAAATGATTAAAGATAATATATCTTGTTAACGTTGAGATTGAAGTGAGCCTCCCTAATTCAAAAACCAAGGTAAAGTTTCTACTATTACCCACCGTTCCAACCTATGGGTCGAGACCCTATGTTTGAGTAGCGGAAAAAATCTAGATGGGTCGCATAAACTCTTCAGATCGTGGAAAATTTACTTATATACGAATGACGACGACAAGCGAAACGTACCCGTACCAAAATTACAGTACAAAAACGTGCATAAAAGTGTGGGATAGGCCTTTGCGTCAGTTTACTTTGGTTACGGTATGCGTGCGTTTTCAATAATTTAATGTTCTAAAATACACTATCAAAACATTTGTAGTTTACGACGACAATTTGAAAGTTTTAATTTTGTTTATTTCAATGTGTTTGACTTCCAAGTGAAAATTATACCGACATTTTTCTCGCCAATTACATCTTCCAATATCAGATATATTTCTAGCAGCAAGTTTAAGAAACATATGAAGATCATCGATTTTTCGATCTGTAACTTCTTGAAAGGCTTGATAACTTATGTGGTTTTGTTAAAACAATATTTATAATAGAGGTGACACTCCAGAGGGTGACACTCCAAGATATCCTAGAAGGTGGCTGATTCAGTAATGTGATGCTTTAATCAGGAATGTCTGTCCCTCACACGCCCTACCCTTAGGGTAAGCTGCCTCTCCCGGTCAGAGAGTCATGTTCTCTGAGGATGCCCGCACCCTCGCCCTTTGGCTTACGGAGTGAATATGTTAGTCTTGGGTCCTGACAGTCACCCTGTGACTAGAAGGCAAGCATTTTAAACTAAGTTATTCAACCCAACTGGCAGTGCCGGATTAAGAATCGTCTGGCCTCAAGGCACATTTTGGAAATGGCCCAAATGTTAATTGAATGGACCCCATGGTAATAATACTCTGCCACAACTCTAACAGTAGAATGTCTCCGAGTTTTCTGGCCTAATAATACCGGAAAATAGAGTGTAAATAATATTGCAGTCCAACTTTTGATGGCCCATCATTTTCGCCTGGCCCACTACAAGGCTTGTGCCTTATTTGCCTAATGGTTAATCCGGCACTGCCAACTGGTCTGTTTTATGAGTTATGATCAATTTAATTTTTGGGGTATATAAGTTTATTTGTGGGTGATATGAATTGGTTGACAAAAGAATTAAGTTTGCATAGTTTTTCTGACCTTCGGTATCCTTCGCAGTATAAAACGACGGACGTAATTTTATTTTGATTCAGATTTTTATTGATTTAGGTTGATTCAGAATCATTTTATTTGTCATATACAAACATAAAAAATAATACCATATTCAGTCATTTTACCATGAAATTCAGGTGATAAATGTTGCCTCTGGGTCTGAAGCCTTGCTTCTGAGTGCTAGATATTTAATTTGAGTTCTGGCTTAAAATGTTTGCGGAACGGGGCTAATCGAATTAAATACAGTACTGTATTCAGCTACGCTACGGTACGGCGCGAGGTGTTATAGTGAGGGCGCTATTGATAAACAAAACAATGAAAGAAGCTGCAGCATGTGTTGCATGGTTGCATCAGTCTGACTGTTGTGGTCGTGTTATTGTCAAGAAGTTATGTAACAGGCGTGTAATTTACAAATGATTTCAGTGTTTGGAAAAAAGATGTCAAAGATTGTAAACATTAAAACTGGTAAGTAGGACTACTATTGGGAAAACCACCATATCTGTATCGCATCCAGCACCGGCCTAGCTTACTTAGCTAGCTAGGCTAGCTAGGTAGGTTCATAGGTTAGTAGGCTAGCTAGGAGGTAGGCGATGGTCACCGTGAAGGTATACAAAGGCATGATGATGTAATCAAATGCAATGTTGGCATGAGCATCAACAAGTAGGTTAGAATGATTCTGCTGCTTATATCAATTGTTGTAGCCCCTGTACTAGGCCAGGGCCTAACTAGACTACTAGCCACTAGGTAGAGGATGGATCCAATATTTATGATGGGGAAATATTTAAAAAAATATAATTAAAGGATATAAAAAAAGATATGCACTCGTTGTATTTTAAGGAGCGTTGTAGGATAGCAGAAATGTGCAATCGAGCATAGCCATCAGGTTTAAAAAAAGAATTTAGTCTTACAATGTAACAAGAAGAAATAATACTTTGGACATTTAAATGTAATTTTATGTAAAAGCACAATAATATGCAAGTTTAACAAATGTTGCCCCAAACTTGACACAAACCCAAGCCGTCTGTTTTATGTAGGCACCAAAACAAACTCGGCTGATTAAAGACAATATTTTCATCATCTTTGTATACACAACATTGAACAGCACTAGTCCAAGATGCATTACCTTAAACTGAGAAACCATTATGAGAAACATTTGACTGAAACTTGCTAAAAAATAATTCAGTTAAAGTCTGACGTCTCTATTTTCAATGGGGTTTTTTAATGCTGATTCAGGACACAGTGGTTGAGTACCTAATAAAACCTGATTGACTTTTTTTAAATGCTAGTTGTATTAATTTCAGATCCTATAGCAGCAGTAGCATTGGCAGCCAAAAGGCTAACAGAAGGCAAGGTGATAGCTGTGCCTACAGACACCATCTATGGCATTGCAGCCTTGGCTCAGTCGCTTGAGGCTGTCCAACAATTGTACACCATTAAAGGTCGCAATTCCCAGAAACCAATAGCTGTATGTGTTTCACAAATAGAAGATATTCCAAAGTGAGTTGCTATTAAACCATGTGTTGATAATGCATTATAATGAAGATACAAATTAAATATTTTTAATATTTCATACATTTAAATATATTTTAGCTTTTAATTGAAAAAATTGAAAATTAGAATGGAATGGAATTAGAAATAAACATTTTCTTTCTGTTTCAGATGGGCTAATGTAACAGTACCTAACACTTTACTTGATGAGATTCTGCCAGGTCCAGTCACTTTAGTATTTGAGAGGTCTGCTGCCCTCAACCCAGAATTCAACCCAACAACATCATTGATTGGTCTCAGGATTCCAGACCATCAGTTTGTGTGTCAAGTTGCCGATCAAGTAGGGACCCCACTAGCTCTGACAAGTGCAAATATTAGTTCCGTTCAGAGCTCACTTTCCATCCAGGCAAGTCAGTTGTCTATTAAATTGGTAATCTTCACTGAAAATCATGAGTCCTCAATTCTACATTCTTTATTTCTCTCTTCATTTATTAAAATTAAATTTTTTGAGTTCTAATGATGTAGGTTTGCATTCACAGGAGTTTCAAGAATTGTGGCCAAAATTGGATATTGTATTTGATGGTGGAGTGATCGGCGAAACTGCGGAATCTAGACTGGGGTCAACAGTTGTAAATTTAGCTGATCAGGGTTATTATAAAATCATCAGAAATGGAAGGTAAATAAATCTAATTAATAAATCTAACTAATTATTCATTTGTCGTTTGCATATTTTAAAATATGACAATGCTAGTCTTCTAAATTGTTGCCCAAAAAACGAAATCAATGATTGTCAACTACTTTATATAAATTATATTGAGCTTCCAATTTTTGTAAATTTAAGATTTTTACTAATTATCCTGAATATGAATACACAATGTTAAATTCTTTTATAATTAAATAAATTGATTTCCTTAATGTGAGGACCTAAGCTTCATGGTCCCCATGTCTGGAACAATATAATTAGTGATTTGAAGCAATCTATTTCTGTGACAAAACTAAGATGTACATACTAAAGGCAAATTATCCTACAGTACTATTAATAAAAAATCCATCTCTGTGGTTAAACATAAAATGTAAAGTACAAATGGCAAATTATCTACAGTACTCTCTAAAGAAAATCCAATGGATGATTGAAATTAACTAAAATGCTCTTTAAAAAATAATTATGATTGTTCACCTAAATTATTTATTATATATTTTTTAAATTTATTATTAATTAATTTATTTATGTGTACATGTCTTAAGGGGAAGATTAGACAAGCCTTCTTATTTTTAACTGTCCCTTGTCCACTTTGTTATTTTATTTTAAATGATTAATGTTATACTTTCGAATTTATGTTGATGAATAAATGTTATATTGAATTGAATTGAATTTTAAGAGTGATGGAGCCTGAAAGTAAAAATAATCTTTAATTTACATTGTCTAACTCAATAAGTTGAATACTGTATAGTGTTAAATTTGCAGTTTGTCATACCGCCCTCTAGGTGTTAATTTTTATAAAGATTAAATGATTTTCTACTATATCATTTGTAGATACCACTTACATATATTGGACAATTAACCTTTTGTGCTGCAGATAAAATCTGTTTCTAACACTTTCTTCTATTAGCTTCTTGTCAATATTTGCTGTCCCTTGTCTGGTTTAGGTGATTGTTAGTGTTATACTCTCAGATAATATTATATAAATGTAGGTCAAATTACCTCAAAATGGATCAGTTGTGTCCAAAAGTTTGCAAAACTGAATAAAGGTTGATGCTTATAATCATGGGCTAGCAAACCCAGGTTAGATTTAATGTAAGGGTGGCCTGGCAGGCACCTTGCCCCAGGAACACTTCTAACATGTTTTCCTTGATTATATTTCTCCACAGTGCATATGAACATACAGTGAATATCTTACAAAAACATGGACTAAAAGAGGCAAGGTAACATCAACTAGGTAGTACAGTAGTGTGAGAAAAGAAATTTTGTGGAAATTTGCTTAGTCGACAGCAAGACAGCAATTAATATGCCAAAAAATGTGCCATCATAGGATGTGTTGTGGATTGAAGAATTATTCTGAAGATGATCAAATTCACATTCTTCATTATTCCAATTTGATTCCATTAATTGCCAGATGTTGTTTTGTTTTCATACATTAATTTAAATGAGAATTTAAACTTGGTATGGACAGTACAAGTAATGTAGTGATATTTTTTAGTTATTTTATTATTGTCCTCAATTTTTTTGTTAATAATTAATTGCCTATTATACAACTCTTGAGAAATAAAAGATGTCATTAATTGGAAAATACAGTGGAATGTACCAGGTTGTACTCATCTGAGGCGTTGGGTGGTTTCGGCCTGGGGTGAAAAAAATCCAAATGCAGAACTAATACCAACTCCAGTAGAAACTCAATTGTCTTTCTCAAACCCCACTTCGAAACTAATTTGCTGCCATAGAGTGGAGGTGTGTCCACACTCCTGCACCCCCAGACCACACCTGTGAACCATATGAAAAATCAGAGTCTTGTCCAGTTTTTAGCTAGAACCTTAATAATCCTAGCAAATGTTTTGTCTTTGGTAGTACAAGATATTACTTGTAGTATCTGAATATATTATATTTGGCTAAACCAAGGCACATGTGTGATGCATATTGTTTGTGCTAATATTTATATTCAATTGGTGCTGATTATTAGACAAAATACTACCTCAGAGTTTACAATGGGTATTTTTTCTGTGACACATCTCAATAAATAATTCTTTATTAAACTTATTAACACTGTTTGCTATATTCTAGTATAGACCCTTACTTGTGTGGTAATCAATATAAGGTCCTTTCGTGGTGCCAAGTTTTTTTATACTGTATCAACAGAAATTTTTCTGATCTGTGTATAATTTGAGGGTATTACTTATTTGAGCTATTTAGTGTTTTAATTTAATTTCTGAGGGCTAGTTTAATAACAGGCTGTTTAAAAAAAATGTATAAAGTACAAGAAAAGACTGTTGTCACTTACTTAATTATAGATTGGTATATATGGGGTGTGTCCATATTTTAGTACTAAAATTTTTTGAACTATTGGTATTATACTACATATTTATCTTTGAAACTATTAAACTATATCAAGACAGAAACTTAAACATTTATGTTGTTTATTCTGCTTTTATGACAGTTTCAATAGCTACACATATACAATGATAACTAAATGCAACAATAACAGCAGCAATGGTATCAGTAGCAGCTAAATTATCAGCAATTGCAACAAAATTAGCAAAGCGGCCAAAATAGCAGCATCAGCAATATTAACAGTAGCTAAAACAGAAACAACATCACCACTGATAATAATAACATTAAATTGTTTGTTGCAAAACCATAAATTTTATCTAACAATAATTAGAGGTTGCATATAGTCTCTTGTTAAACCAACATAGCATAGTCTCAACATTTCTGAAACAAGTTGAAGACTTCACTGATGCTGTTTAGCCTCTAACCTAATTTCTTTTTGCTCAAAGAAGCTAAACCACTTAATCTACTGTATAGCAATGGCTTGTGGTATATCTCTGGACAGTGGTGACGCACCTTCGGACAAACCTGGACCTCCTATCGTCTGACGCCACGACGAGGTTGTCAGACCAAGAATGTTAATTTGCCTATCCAGAATGTTATTCTTATTGCCAATCCCTATTGTGGTGTAAAAGCACAATTTTGAGCCATACTAAGCCATAAAAACGCTCCCCATGAACCATACCAGGATTTTTTTTCCGGGACCCTGATCACAGTCAGCCCCTGGTTCGGAACCTCGCTGTCGGACGCCTTGTCAACAATTTTTTTTGCAGCCACCGTTCAGGGGCGGATCCAGAGATGTCCAAAAGGGGGGCCGAAAGGGGGGCCGAAATTTGGGTCGATCGAGACAACAATGTCCTAGGGGGTCCGAAATTTTTGTGTTCTAGACGCCCGAAGATAACATTTGAGGCGTTCTGGGCTATCATTTTTTTTTCTTTTTCTTTCATTTTTTCTTTCTTTTTTCTTTTTTTTACCTCCCAAAAGGTGGGGCCGAGCCGCCCCCCTAAATCCGCCCCTGCCGTTGTCTCTGGAATCTTTGGATTGGAACAACCTTACCTTGTATAGTCACATGTTTTAGGAACTTGATTTGGTATAGAAATTAACAATAACAGACAAAAGGAAATACTAAACTATATTGATAAAAGTAGAGGAATAAATAATGTTTAAAAATAATAATTTGTAAAAATAAGATGAGGTTCCTGCACAGCCCTGACAATGTATTAGATAGCTTTAAAAATATCGATTTTTTTTTACTTGAAGAAAGGGTACCCTGGGTGCTAGAACAACCTTCCACTACATCGCTGGAGGTAGGTTGATGACTCGCTTCATAAAACTAACGACATCCTCTAATTTTCTCAAAATGTAACAGTTCAAAGTACTGCTGACAATTTTCGCAACACTGCTCTATCTTTGTTGATGTTAATCAATGGTGGTTGGAGATCCGGCACTGGCCTGACGGTGACTTCCTGACCAATACCTGAATTAATGTCTTCTTTTGGTTTGTTGAGTGGAGTGATAGTTGTGCTGGTATTGTCTATGTAATCTTTCCTCAATTTTCCGACGCTTGATATCCTTCGAGGCGTCCTCGTTTTATCTGTTAAGACAACTTTGATTTGTGATTTCATTTTGTTCCTGTCAATTAGAATCTTGCCAACAACATTGTTAGAGTTGTTTGATCTTGAAGTTGTGGAGGATGGTGCTGTATTTCTGTTGCATGGCGGGATGCTACGTTTTTTCTGAACTTCCGACTGTTCTAAAGCGGCAATAGAAAAAGCCGGGGAATTCTGAGCATGATTACTGACAGACTGGTGTGCCAAAATTTTCATAAATACGTCGTCGTCTGCAGTCTGTCTTGCATTACCTAAGCCTCCAGGTTGAGCTTCAGTATGTCGTCTTGGACCTAAGTCAGGCAACCTCTTATACCTTCGTTTTGAGATGCAGGTTTTGGACAGAACAAAGGAATTACTACGATTATAACCTAAACTTTTTCGTCGGTGAAGTTGTGGGTAGGTGTTACGGCTTCCATCTGAAGTCAAATTTGCATGACCGGCTTTTAGAATGTTTTTTCTATTAAGCATTCTTTGATAAATTTCTCTTTGTGCCTTAAATTTATTTTCCGTTTCACGTCTCGTGATATGTTTGTTTTTGTTCGGTTTCTTTTTCTTTTGTTCGAATACAGCAAAGTCCATCGTCGTTTGGCTCTTGTCAATGTTATTACTTATGTTTTGTTCCCTAATTTGATTTTCAACTTTTGTCACTCCTTTGTCAACAAGAGCAGCGTTTTCATTGCAGCCAGTGATGTCTCGTTCATTTTCAGTCTGTGATATGTTCTCTTTGAGAGTCATGACCTCGTCAAATTGCTTTCTCAGCTCATTATCCTCCCTATGTATATTATTCATCAAGCATCTTCCATCGTCATCTTCGTGTCTCTCTTTATTGTTCTGTTCAATTTCAATTTTGGTAAGATCTCCATTTTGGGAGTTGGTATGCTCAGCTGCTGTTGTTGTGTCAGGCTTTGCATCACTTTTTTCTATAAATTCGTTTTGGGGTTGATTCGCTTTGTTATGGTGAATTCCAGCAAGAAGAGCCATCTTGAAGTGCAGACTATTTCGTTTCAAATGATTTGACTGTAAGTTATTCTATATGAATTATGAAAGAAATAACATGTTACTATTACTCAATGCACCTAAAATGGTCTCAAATGACATTATATATATATATATACATAAATACATATATACATACATAATATATATATATATACATATATATAATCCAATATCAGTGAGAATTCGGGAAATTTATACTCACAGCTTCTTCTGCAAGTTTCTGTGTAGTAACGTCACACTCATCTGTGGTTTCCTCACTTGCTCTCATTTCTTGTAACTCTTTTGTTGAATAAGGTATCCTTGATGTTATTACACACATGTTTCTATTTTCTACTTTCTTTAGGAGAAGATAATAAATTGCCGATATATGATTGGCTTTGTTACGAATCACTGATGTAGTCATGTGATCAATATCTAGGCCTAATTTTTCGTGGGCGTAATGGATGACGTCTGGGTCTATGTCCATTCGACTCATCCGGCCAGCGGGCGCGGGAATCGTCACTGGGTCTAGGTAGTCTCCGTTTAACCATTCGTGCTCTACAACTTGACGGATAGATAAGCGTTTGACTTGATTCGGCTCCAGTAGTTTTAATATGAAACTCTTACATTCTGCAAAACCAAACAACAATAGGTACAGTATAATATTTAAAATAATAATGAGAATGATGAAATGATAATAATTGTTGTCGTCGTTGATAATGATGATGATGATGATAATTATGCTGGAGATGACGAATGATGATAAATGGTGAAGTTGACGATGACGGTGGCAATGATGATAATGATCGACTAAATCCATTTAGTTTGTGTGTGTGTGTGGGTGTGTGTAGGTGTGTGTGTGGGGGTAGGGTGTGTGTGTGTACCAAAGATAGAATATAGGAGCCTACAATACTTTTGTTGTGCAATGTTTTCAAAAGCTCTGTGGTTACCATTTTATCAAATCAAAAAAAAAAGAAAAAAAAAGAAAGCGATTCCACTTTTTTTACGTACCTATTGAAATGTTTGAAGGAAACTCTGACATCTGACCTTTGAGCATCCTATGTAGTAGGAGCTTGAGGTTGAACGGCTCAATAACAAACGGTAAAGTGCCCGACAACATAGCAAACATGTTCACTCCACTAAAGCAAATGAATTCATAAAGTATTATTTGGGAACTTGAATGCCAATCTTACTCATCTTTCATTTAATTTCATATACAATTAGGCCTACAAAATATATCCCACGCCACTAAATGAAATGTTACTGATTAACAATCTTACATGCTCCAAACGTCAACTTTTGGTCCATATTTCCTGTTCGCAATTATCTCAGGCGCTGCGTATGCAGGGCTTCCGCATTGAGTTCCCGTATATACGCGAAGTCCACTATTCTCTCGAACTACTGGTTTTAGATTCGATATTAGATTACTTAAACCAAAATCTGGAACGAAATGTTTAATGGTTCATGCAAATTTAAAAAATTAAAAAAACCTTTTTAATTTTATTTAAAAGGCGGCAAATGATTATTCAGGCTCCCATTATTAATGTGCAAACCAATGATTGTAATAAGCCTCGGTTTTTAACCATTTGCAATACATTCCCATATACTCGACAAATAGCTCATTTGTGTTGGAATATACATTTCATATTATTATGTTTAATATAAGATCTCCGTTTATAACAATTGATGACCTGTTCTACTCCTACACTATTTGAGTCTTTAAGAGTTCGGCTTTACCCACCAGAACCTGAGGGGCGGATTCCAGGGACTCTTCCTCTATATTCTCTCTGACCACGTCCTTGACTCAAAAATTTTATTCTTCAAATATAGATCTCGGGACATCCGTAGGAATTGAAACAGATACGACACTTACCAATTATTTTAATGTTGTTGTTGTTATCAAGAAGAAGATTCTCCACCTTGAGATCCCTGTCATAACGGAAAAAAGCTAATATTTGAATTGTTCAGATTGTATGCTGAATATAATGATTAAATTGAATTGAATCAGATTTATTTCCAAGAGCATATAAGTATACAATGAAAATGAAGGAGGCCTAATAGTGGTTCTAGGTGTAATTAAATATTGTTGACGATCCTTGCTCGCACACTGCACGGGATAGCTACACCAGTCGTTTGTAACAGATGCAGATACAGATGGAGACGATACGGTAACTAGTTAACAGCAGGGGAGGATTTGGGGGGGGGGTCCTGTCCCCTTTTTGGAGAAGTAAAACAAAGGAGGGCAAGTCCTGTCCCTCTTTTGGAGAAGTAAAAAAAAAGTAAGAAAAAGATGATCGCCCAAAACGCCTCAGAGATTATTTTTCGGCGTCTACAAAACAAGAATTTCGCAGGGTCGTATGTGTTATCTCGATCGGCCCCACTTCCATTCCTTTCTCCCCCACCCCTTTTGGACATCTCTGGATGCGCCCCTAAATTGGAGTATATAATGCTGAGCTTCTGCAAGGACCTGAACAAATAATCTCCGGGCTGCAAAGGGACACTGTTTCCATTCTTACCCGGGCGCCAAAAAAATAAAGTTAGATTTCCCCACAAAAATCTGTTGTTTCTTTATTTTAATAGCTCTCTGTGCAAATTCTCGTAGTTTCCCAAAGATGATATTATCTTTATGGCTCAATTATTGTTTGTTTTCTAAGCGATAAGTGCCAAAGTTGTTGTTTGTCCAAGAATAATTACCTTTACTTCTGTCCACTTTACAATAGTGGACAGTTTACACAATGAATAGCCGTCATTCATTTGATAGATAGCTAGATATCGGACAATAAACACACCACCGAGATACATCAAATATAATTATGTCTAATATACAGGTTAATGTAAAACAATAAAAATTGTAATGGGTTCTTTAATGATGATTGTTTCTTAATGATGACAACAGGAATTTACAATGCCTGTGCAGGAGTTGCCTGTGGAAGGACGATATGTTCATGCGATTGGCCAAACACACGGGAGAGCGGGGGGGGGGGGGGAGAAGAGAAAATTAGGATGAATTTTCCAGTTCAATGTCTTGCACCTTCTCCCACTTTACCGACAAAACAAAGTTACACCGCACGCTGTAGAGACTCGGAAAAAATACTATATGAGTATGAGCATCTAGGGGTCTTGAAATGAGAGGATGATGTGAAATGGGGCGAAAGTGAAGCGGGGAGACACGATGATTTGATGAGGGGGTACTAGCTCGCAAAATAAGGTGAGTTAAGGTGATTTGTAACTACTTAAGCGTAATTATTAGGGAAAAGGAGGGGTGGGCGGTGTTGGGTGCGCTTTTATATTTATATGTATTGTATTTAAAACATCCTGTAAATGGCTTTTTGCTGTTAGATGAGGTTCGAAATAAAATTAAAATAAAATTATATGGTCATTTGTAATATATTTTTTTCACAGATTTCAACACAGAAAGTGTCTTTGTAACATACACATATTAAACACGTTGTAGAAATTGATGGGCTGAGAAATAATAGCCTATTCAAAGTAAACTGAGCGCGGAGATGACATTTCACATGAAGTGAACTGTCCCCAACTAATGAGGCATGTGTATAGCAAAGTTTCTTGTTCTACTTTTGTTGTAATTAATACTATACCACCAAAATGCTTAATTAGCAACAGAACCGGAAACACTTGAGTCATGAACTTGCACAAGTCTACATCCTGTTAAGTGCATCGTCGATATAGGCTTATTTGGCAAAATATGAAACGAAACATCTCGAATTAATCGAAAAGTTTACTTAATGATATATTCATAACATTGTTAAGGTTTTGGTTTCAATCGCCATTGGGAGAACGACAGCAGTGAAGAAGACAACGCAGTTGTCTGTAGAAGGATAGACACGATGGCGGCAAAAGTCAAACACTAAAAACACGCGTTATTATATTATTATAGCGATGGCCTATGGATTTGATGTACTGATTTTGTGCTGTTATTGATTGGCCATATATATATATATATATATATATATATATATATATATTATATTATATTATACATATAGCCAAAGCCAAATGTTCTTGCCTTGCATATATAAACATCCTAATTGTAATAAAGGCATTAAGTGTAACAACTTCTGGCTTCTAATATTTTTTTTATAAAGGTCCTTGCAATAATTCGTTTAATTTCACATTATGTTGCCTCACCCGCTTTTGCCGCGGTGATAAATTAATCCTTCGGAATTTGTATATTTTATCTCATTTCTGCACTCTAACAACAAACTATTAATGAAAGCTAATCGGGAAAAAAACAAGCACATTGATCAACTAGGGCATCCTAAATTTATGATGGAAAATTGACACATTACTGTATATACCGTACATCACTTACTTTCTCGACGACTGTACAATGCAATGCCTCTCTGACTTTGGCAAAGCTTCCCTCGCCGATATTTCTTCCAATCAAGTAAGAACCAACTCGCTTCGTGTGAGAATACTTAACAACCTCTTCCCATCTCGGGTGCTGTATCGTCGTCGAAAACATAATTTATCTACTTTTTATCTCTTTCCTTCAAGATTTCGTTCACTCAATTTTTTTTTAAACGTTCAGTTCCAAAAAACAAACTCCGGATCTTCGCTAAACCAAACAAACGTGAGGCATATCTTGTAAACACAGTGGCTTGTTTTGAAATACATCTAAAGTACTTTGCTAATTTGAACCTTGTGAAATCTACAACGGAAGAGACTGACTGTCCACCAATGTCCCACGATCATTCAGAAATTATCCGGAGGGTGTGCAGACACTATGCGTACTTAACAACTGTCATGGAAACCGAATATGTTGCTTTGAAACTGATTCCAAATATAAACGCGTCAATGGCTTTAGTTTACTATCTCTTGTCCACTCATTTGAATTACAGAAATAAACACGTTGCGTTTCACGCGCCGCTTAGGGTAAATAGCGTATTAAAGTACACATCATTACAACGATAACAATATGCGATACAATCGTTGGTTGACATCATCTGAAAAATTATACTTTTCCAGTGTTAAATAGGATCGTCAGGGCGCGACTATCGACGCGAACTTTTCATAACTTTGTGAAAGTTTACTCAACTTGATTTATTTAAGATGTTGTAGTATTGCACAACATCTTTAACAGCAAAAAAAACAACAAAAAACAAAGAAAACAACTCGATGTTTCTTTATATACATTTTCGGTCTATTTTGAAAACTTCCGTGGTCGAATATTTCAAGTTTAAAAGAGACACAAAATAGTAATGAAAAGACAGATCTTGACTTATTTCTCATTATTTTATAATCTACAAGCAATAAAGCTGATGTTTGTAACATTTGCATATATCATCAACTTAAATATAGATAAGAAAAAATGAAGCCTACAATGCAACTCATATTACATGAAGCTTCTAAGTCATAAAAAAATAACGTCATAATTTTGCATGGAATGCATTGCATTGAAAACAATTACTAATTAATGAACAAAACATTAACATAAACATTCCATTTTATTCTAAACTGAATCGAATGTACAAATTGAGGCATGTTTGAAACATGGAATGCACTACACTGACAAAATTTATTGTTAATTTTTGAATAAAACATTAACATAAACATTAAATTTTATTATAATCCGATTCTAATGTACAAATTGACACCATGTTTAAAACATGAAATGCACTACATTGACAACAATTATTGTTAATTATTGAACAAAACATTAACATAAACATTATTACAGTAGGCCTATATATTATTCTGAATCTAATGTACGAATTTGACATCATGGTTAAAACATGGAATGCACTGAAAATGTTATTATTGAGCAAAACATTAACGTAAAACATTACATTTTATTATACTCCAATTCTAACGCACACATGACGTCATATTTGAAACATGAAATGCACTACACTGGCAATAACTACTAATTATTTAATAAACATTAACGTAAACATTATATTATATTTTATTCTGAATCTAATGTACAAATTTATATCATGTTTCAAACATGGAATGCAATACACTGGCAACTAATGTTAACTATTGAACAAAACATTCACATTCACATTACTTTGATTTTATTCTGATTCTAATGTACAAATTGACGTCATGTTGAAACATGGAATATGCTACACTGGCAAAAATTGTTAATTATTGAATATAACATTAATATAAACATTTAATTTTATTTTGAATCTAATGTACACATGACGTCATGTTTGAAACATGGAACGCACTACACTAACTGTTGCCAGTGTAAAGCCGAATAAAATTTAAAAAAATAAAAAATAAAATAACAATTATTGAATAAAACATTAACATAAACATTAAATTCTATTTTATTCTCAATATAATGTACAAGTTGACATCATGTTTAAAACATGGAATGCACTACACTGGCAACAATTGTATTATTGAACAAAACATTAACATGAACATTACATTTTATTATATCCCGATTCAAATGTACAAATTGACATCATATTTTGAAAAATACGATGGATTACACTGGTGGATTGTACAAAACATTAACCAAAAGCATATTTTATTTCGAATCTCACTTTACAGTGGGAAGTCCAACCATGGAGGTATAAAAATTACCTCCATGGTCCAACAATGATGAAAGAATAATATACAGTACAGTACTCGACTTGAACGAATACAGTAGGAAACAACAAAATAACCAAGCTAAAGTAAAACAAAGCTTGGTTTTTAAAAGTTGTAGGAATAAGAGAATACATAAATTGAGGAGTTTTAGACTAAATAAAACGTTATAGTAATTACACAATAACACTAACGATTTTCTGAATACAAGCTCAAATAATAATATTATGTACATGCTTTTCAGTTGTTCACGTATACCAATAAAATACACCTAATTGTAGTAAAATATACTGCAGGACTAAAATAACAAGCCTGTTGTGGCTGGTATCTGCATCAAAGTTTTCAGTCTCATAAGAGTTGTTATGCCAAATGAAAAAAAAGTCTTTTGTCCCCACCATAATTTTTTTTTTTTAAATTACAAAAAGCCAACATCACACTTGGAGTAGCTTGCATAAATCAAACATAAGTATCTGTGTGCAGTGGCGTATCTAGGGAGTGTGCGGGGGGTGTACACCACTCCAGAAATTACTTGCGCTCCCCCACTTTCCCCCCCCCCCCAAAATCAGAGTCAAAGAAGGTAAAAATCATCATTTTGTGAGTTAGCACCCCTCAACTGATCATCGATCCCCCACTTCACCTTCACCACCCCCATCAAGCATCCCCCTTTTAAACCCCTAGAGACGCCAGTTTTGTGTGTCCCTGAGCATGGCATGGATAATTATATGGTTGTGTATAGGTAGGGACTTTAGCTTTGATAAGGATCCACCTCTTTCTATAAAATCCCCCAGGCCAAAAACATGTGGTCTACTTATTCCCGGTTATACTAAATTCTATTTTCTGTTCATATAACCTACAGTATTTGAATATTTGCATACTACTATTTCATTTCATATTAAAAATATTTCATATTTAAAATACATTAAAAATGCATTGTCTCATGCTAAATATAAAAAAAATCATAAAAATATTTTTCTAAATTAACTTTCGCATTTTGAATTAACATAAAAGTTATCAACTTGAACATAGAAATTAGAGTTTTTAAAAAATGTCTACACGTCAGTTTACAGCGAAAATTGAAAATTGTTTTATTATTTTTATTATAATTTGTTAGTTTAAAAATTAGGGTACACATTTTTTAAATTCAATAATTTCTATGCACAAGTTAATAATTTGTATGTTATTGCAAAATTTATTTCAAACTTATTTTTTATGATTTTTTGACATTAGCAAGGGACAATACATCTTTAATCTTGTATACAGATTTAAATGGACCTTTCCATTATGTGAAACCTGGAGGAATGCTTCTTTTACCTCCATGGTCAAAATTAAAACTAAGCAATCATAACGTTTTACTTAATGGCCTACAATATGCGCATGTCCCAAATATGCACAAGTAAAAGTGTCATTACAAGTACTTCCCACACTTTAGCGAACAATATCCAAGTCGTGTGGCTTAGCACGAAAGTCCATTAATTTTCAATATGACACCTAAAAGGTAGTGTGTTGTGATCCTAAAATACTGTTCGTTATTTTCCTGATTTAGCACACAGCTAGCCGTAAATCCTACATATTGTGGATATGACTAACTATGACAGCTGCTGAATGGAAGCTTGGATCATCCTACACTTCAACCAAGGAGGTATATAAATTTATTTTCATTACTGCAAAATATCTATGAAATGAACCCCTGAAACATACATAGTCATAATACAGCCCAATATATACTTAGATATTTGGCTGTGGCATTATTAATATAGCATTCACTCATCTTGAGTAAATGTATACGGGCAGTGTTAAGTTTACTTGCTTAGATATTACATATAATTTAAATTAAACATTGTAACTATTTCTAAATGGCAAGAATATCAACTGCATTGACTCACATTCCAATAATTTACTGCCACAAGTTCATAGGTCATGTTAAATACTGTTCATATTCTATATTAAACATAAGTTGAAACAGAGAGGTACTATTATCAATTCAGCCCATTATATATTGTAATTTGCATATGGCAATGATGATGTCACATCACATTCATATACAAGTCCACTTTGCTTTGGTTAAATGTACATTGTACACAACTCATGGGTTTACTGTCGGAACTTAAAAAAAACAAAACAAGTCTTCAATTCCTAATAATTTGTATAGACTTTAAAGTATAGTTCTTGGCTTTCAACCGAAAATATAATTTTACACAAATAACAGGTCTATAAATAATAGCCTGCGAGACACACTACTATAAACTAACTTAACTATCTGTTTATAACAGATACTATACTGTAAAGGTCTTTTAATTGGAATGTATGTAGTATTTTAGAAAATAAACTAAAGGTCAATTTACAACAAAATATATATCCTAATTGTGGCAGGTATAATGTTGTGGATTAGTCTAAACGCAAAAACTCTGGAACACTTTATTATAAACTTTGGCAAACAGGGATCAAATAGGCGTTTATAGCTTCAAGACTAGAAACTTTCAGTAAGTTGTAATTGATAGTTCTTATACGCATAAATAAAAAAGTATAAAAACTGGCATTAATTACAGGCAGTTAGTACTCAGACACAGATTCTATCAAAAGTAATATAAATTTCTACGTTCTCCTTTTATGACTGTACAATATATACATTAGCATTCTATTATGAATTTTTGAGATTCCAAAGTTTGCTTTTGTTTCCCTGAAATCGACTGCCCATCAGTATTACCATGTGAAGCAAAAATAATCAGATGTGCAAAGAACGCTCATTAAACCAAGTTTTCCAAAAGTGGCTTCTCCAAACATGAGACCTCTGGATTATGAATACTTAAGAGCGCGAGTATTACTAAAAATATGCTGCTAGATGATATCGATAAAATCTATTGTTTCTCCTGATATAATAATAAGCAATTAGAATAGTTGACTATCATACACTAGTGGAGAATTATGTATACAAATGTTAGATTAATGCAAGAAAAGAATTCCTAAGGGGATGAAGGAATTTTTTGAATGCATTAATTAATTTTCTCTAGTGTATACATAAGCACTATTCTAATTGCTTTATAAGTCTTCCGATGTTATGTCTTTCATATATACATATGCACATATATATATACATTAAAAAGATTATGTTACCTTTCGGAGTTATGGTTAGTTTCTGGAAGCTTTCCTAGACATTTTGTAATCTTCGTCAGCCATTTGAATCTAGCGGTTTACTGACACGTTAGCATTGATGTTCGTGTGATGACGTAGCAGACCATTGATGGGTGGTAGCTAATATCCGCAATCTCGGTTTAATGGTGGCGTTCTCATTTTAATTTTTATAGCTTCTTTCATTTTTCTTTTTTTTCCCTTTTGAATGAATTAGATCTCTTTAGATATTTAAATCTTCAATTGAACCATCATTTACAACACAAGAAATCAGTGCTAGGTTCTTTATTACACCGAGCAGAGAACATTATAAGAGGAGACAAAATTAGAGAAATTAACCACATACACTAAGTGTTAGAGGCAAACAATTATCCAAATTGGATGCAGAAAATCCCACAAAAAGTAAACTGTAACGGATACAGATAAAACAGATGAAAATGAAAAGAAAATTCTTATTGCTCTCCCATATATCACAAGAACACCAAAAGGTCTAAATAAAATTTACACAAGAAACAAAATAACAGCTTATCATAAACATTTCAACACACTGCAGAAAAAACTGGTCAAACCCAAGGACCCAACCCCAGTTAAAAACTATGTGGGGTCGTGCACCAAAGTGAGTACGATACGTGCAAAAAAATCATCACCGAAATATCAATGCTGACATGTCAGTAAACCGCCAGATTCAAACGGCTGACAAAGATGACAAGATGTTCTCAAAAGCTTCCAGAAACTAGACCATAACTCTAAAAGGTAACTTACACTCTTTTTTTATTATTATGACAGCATAACCTCCATGCAATTATATTAGCTGTCTCTTATATATACAAATATTGACTGCTCATGAGGAGAACGGTGAAATCTACTGTATTGCCCCGAGGTGATGTGGAGACCACAGCCTATCGTCCCGAGGGCCGACTGTTCCCCGAATCCAGAGCAGTCAATATTTGTTTTATATACCTCACACATTGATTCTATGAGGTCTAAAGAACTATGCACTTCCTAGACTAGCCGACTAGAGGCCTACACACTAGTCTAGGCAATCAAAGAGTGTGTCTAGCTCTTCTTTGCTCATTTCCTCAATTTCAACAGCACCCATCGTCCTGCAATATTTGTTGAATATTAACAACACATATCTAATTTGTCTTTTGGTGCTTTTGCTATCGGCTCCATCAAGAAGTAATGCTAGGCTTAGGCTAGTTCTTCTTCATCCAGGAGCTCGAACCGACTAGATCTAGCCTCCATATTTGTTTATCATCTACTCGCTGATCGTGGGACAGTCAAGGGCCAAGGTCTTTCGTCGTAGAGGTCACAGTCCCTTTTACTGTCAGCGTGATGTTAAGTGGGCCTAGAATCTCCACATGCAACAGGGCAAAAAAGTATTATTGTTCAGGAGAAAATTACTTTTTGAGGGGAATAGGACTTTCTATTGCCTGCCTCTTAACCAATCAGATGCCTAGAATTTATGTATGAGGTATATAAATATATATATAATTATACACACAAAATGGCTCTTGGCAAATATTAAAAAGAGTGCCAAGATATTAAATAGTAAAATAAAGATCTATTGAGCATGTACAGGTTTTGGTCGTAATGCACTGTAATTACACGGTTTCATCTTCATGTTCATGTCCTTCCCAAGGAAAAAAATACAATGCCTACGTGCATCATGCATAAACAATCGAGAATTAGGGTCCTCTGTCCAGCACTTAGTCAGGAAAGACATCAACTGCAGGTTGTGACACCAGGTCAGGTCTGGTTTATATCCACAGCCAATCTGTAAACAATCAATAATAATAATAACAAAAATATGAATCGTTGTTTGACCTAACTGACGTATTATAGTACATTTGAGAACGTACTGAGCATTCAGTAATATAATATGTCAGGTAGGGCAAACATTAATTGGTATTATTTCTTATGACGCAAAAACGCCATCGGAATAATAAAAATAATAATAATTATTATTATTAAAAATACAATAGAACTATATGCTAATACATTATAAATCAATTGTGACTCCAATACTATATTCTAATGCATTAATCAAATGGTTGCAAGATATGCCACATGGCAGCATATCTACATTTATCTCTATGCGCTAACTTTGCAAAAATAGGCACGTTTAGACGAGTGTATAACATATATGTGGCAAAGACAAGCCAAACCAGTCACTCGTCGCAAAAATCAATTTTGAGTTAATAATACAGTGTTAGAGAGTAAAATAATAGCTATAAAATGGTAAAAAAATCATCCAAATCGGACATTTCCTTATGAAGTTACAAGCGTTTAAACATACAGCTGTTTAAAGAACAATATATGAGAAATCAGCCTTTAAAGTTTATGATTTCAGGCATTTCTCATGCAGAAACTAACATCAAATCCTTAAAAAGTGTTGTTTTAACATTGAAAATGGGGAAAATAACAGCATAGAATGATGTATAGATATGTAAAGATTAGTTTAGTGCAATAAAATAGATTTTTAAAAATTTGACATTCCAGCATGTTTTGGCCATTTTCTCTGAAACACGATTTGCGACGAGTGACTGGTTTGGCTTGTCTTTGCCACATATGAATGATTGGAAATCTAAATATGTTTCTCCCACAGTAAATGACAAGTACAGTAATAAATCCCACCAACATAACAGACACATTCTACCCCTCCGTGCCCACAATATCAAAAACTGTATGCCCATACGTAGACATGATGCGCCTATGGTGAAGATGTGATGTCACTGTGACTATACATAGGCATGTTCAACACACCTTGTTTCTAATTACTTCAGGATGTTCATGCGACATGTGGTAAAACACTGTTTTTTTATAGGACATTTCATAAAGTAAGGTACTGATTCCCCAAACATCTGACTGAGAGGTCCTTTGCTGTTTTCTACATACCTGCAAATGTGGAAAGAAAATTGAATATAAATGAAAAAGTTATAACTGATAGCACTTGAAAAAGGGGTAGTGGTACAGTGGCGGCGTTACCGGGGAGGGGTACTAGTTAAGTAGTAGTCCATATGTTAATCAGGCAGTACAAATGGGCAGTTCATGTGTTATTAAAAGGAAGTTTATACTGTATGTTAAAGGGGCAGTTCACATAAATTACAGCACATCTTAACTGGAGAGTTTAAATGAAGCAGTCCATAAGTCAAAGAGCAGTCCAACCTCTTGAAAGAGTAGTTCACATGTTTAAAGCCAAGCTCCGGAAGAAAAAAAATTGATATGTTGTAGAACTGACACAAAAAGCATATTAGATGAAAAACCCGGAAGCAGTTAATGAGATACAAATTTATTGATATTTAAAAACTGGGGAAAAAAGGTGAAAAATAGGGTGGCTACACCACTTTTCCCACTGTTGTCAAATATGTCTTTTGTGTCTAGGGGAAAATCAGTTCTACAAATGTGCGAATTCACCTATTGTAATGTTAAGGGGACATTCCACATATTAAAGGGGCAGTCATCATGATAATCATTAGTGAAACTATCAACCTCATAGAAGTCACTAAAACACATGTAATTGTTTTACAATCAGTAAAACAAAACTATTACAGTATTAATTCCAAACTTACTTCGATGGGTGTGAGGTGAGGCTTAAGTTGTTTTTTATTCTGTGCTGTGTATCGCTTTGTAGCATCAAGAACTACAGCGCTACTAAAATCATGAAAAACCAACTGCTGTCTGGTGTCATCAAGGCTAATATGGTCACCTGAGAGAAAGACGATTAAACCATTGCATGAAATCTCCTAAAACATTTAAATAAGGAAGCTTTCTGACAAGAATGAACACAAGGTCACAAATAATTTACTGTTTTGCGTTAAAAAAAATATACCATGGATAATAAAGCCTAACTCAGACAGCGTCGTATGACGTAGCCCAACGTGATTTGTTGTCGCATCGGGTCTGTGTGACGCGATAGTTTGCATTGGGGGCAGTCGCGTCGTAAAATATCAAACATGTTTAATATTTCTCACGATGGCTTAAGACTGTCGATGACAATAAATTGCGTCGGGCTGCATCGTACAACGCTGTCTGAGTTGGCCTTAAGCCAATTCATAGTTTGAACTGCGCATGACCTTATCCAAGATCAATCGACATAAACCTATGTAGTGCATTTTATGTATGTTTGTTTATGCTGACTGACCTTGATCTGGGCATGTGCAGTTCAAACTAAAATCAGTTTTTGAGTTTATTGAGCTCCTAATATTGTCATCTGAAAGTAAAATTTTCACCAACAATGCCACTTGACCCCACCAGGGTTTTAACTAAATACAATTTGTTGTCCCTTCTGGACCCTGGAACCTAACTAGATACTCTTTGTTGTTCCTGTTGGAAAATTTTTTGAGCCTGTTTCGAAGGTCAACAAGATACTTGAACGAGCTGATGTTTTTAAGGTAGACAAATATGATAGTGTATATTTATATAGGAGAACTGACTCACTGGACCAGTCAAGTAAAATGATCTTAAGCTTTCGAAGATGCACTGCCACCATACAAGCTTGGTCAAGGAAGCTCAACCTGTTTTGCTCAAGTGTTTCCAAATCTTGCTGAGAAGTTGAGTTTATCAGTCTTTTCAGTGAGCCACCTAAAAAAGAATTCTACCTATTTAATAATTGCTATTTTCAAATGAAACAACATAACTATATAAAACATGAAGTATAAATGCAAAAACAAATTAGATAAAACCAAATAAGATTATCAAAGCACACTTGTATAAAAGAGGGCAGTTTCAGCAATACCTTGAAAAAAAGTGAATATAAACAAAACAATACTAAAGATAACAGGGGTACCAAGTTCAAAGAAGTCACTTTCGGAAGATCTGTTTACATTTAATTGCATTTTGCTGTGCATGGCGATACCTATCGGCACTTAATTCTGTGAGACAATTGATCATAGTCAAAATATATAAATATTATGAATTTTCATATATACTTTATTTTGTACACATATTTATATATCTACTATATATACACTCTAATACAGTAACAGCAGATTTAGAAGAGATTTTAAAATGATATTCAAAAATAAGTAAATAAAATATAAGATGAATATTAAAATAATTTTTTGAACATGAATTCAAAACTACATAAAAAAAATCATAAAATGATTATTCAATAACCAAACATTACATTAAATAGTTACAATTCATATTTCAATTTAATCTTCTAAGGATCGAAGTGTTGGCTCTCTTTTCATCTTTACTACATTAAATAATGCATAAACTGCTCAGAATGCAAAGTCCATACCTTTAACAAGTCTTGTGCATATGTAAGCTGAATTGCCGACGACCCTACACCAAAGGTGCTTAGCAATTTGAGGGAAACGCTTATCAGTGATCTTTGACATGATATCTAGGATCTCTTGGCGGTTTTCTTGCTATGAAATGATAGATGTGATACTTCGTTTACAGCAAATGTTATAGATAGAGAAGGTAATTTGGTAAAAATATAAATCTCACATCAACATTTTGAAGAGAATAGAAAAATGAGGGACAAAGTGTAGATTTTCCATAATCATCATTTCATTGTTTATACTTTCTAATAATTATTATGACAGTAAGAAATACTTACAGCTATGCTACAATTCTTGATGGCATATGCATGCTTTGGAGCACCCACGGAATTAGCAATACACATCTGAACTGTGTTGAACATTCCATAACCGCTGTAATCCTGCAGGAATTCATTCACTAAGTATAGCTTACTCGTATCCTTTCTTGTCCAGAATTCCTTGAAATCATCAGCCATCTATTGTGTCATAATAAAAGGTAAAACATTAATAAATAAAAGGTAAAATGATAATAAATATAAGTAACAATAATAATAGCAACAGCAGCAGCAACAACAGCAGAAAAGAATAATAATCATATGTTTTCATGCTGCACTTTTAAACACGGAGATACAAGACGTAGATGATGTCATTATTACACCTGGTAACAACATTCATAAAATTGCAAGTCGGTACAAAGTGCAGCCTTCTCCACTCCCTGGAGAATACACCTAGCTATGCTGAAATTCAATGCGCATAGACTAATACACTCAATGCCACAAAATCCTACTAGGTACACATTAACACTCCTGGGAGGAAAGAGACAAACATAGGTAAAGTGCCTTGCGAAATGCTTACAGAAATAAGTCCCAAGAGTTGAGAGGCCGAACTGCACTGTAGTGCCAACCTCCTTTATAGATACAGCAAACTGACAGTACAAAGATTTATTTATTTACAAATTATTTGTACGTCTCTGGTTAAAAACCTGGAAATACTGTACTCACCAAAATTATATAAACTATTAACTTAAAGGATCATAGGTCTGGGTCAGAGGGCCAAAGTGAATCTTGGATTTAACACCGAGGGCCGCACACAAACTTGTTTCCAGCATTTTTCCAAAACACTTCATACACTGCTTTTAAAATTACATTTTGCAGATAATCGGTGTTGGGCCGTAAAAATAAACAAGGTGTTTTCTCTATAGAAGATGATCGGAGGGCCTCACAAGGGTTCATTTTTGCGGCCTGCAAAAAAAATTCACTGTCGGGCTGCATGCGTCCCGCAATTTGCCCACCTGTGAAACACGATCAGTTTTCCCATTTTCATAGATACTACTATAAAAATCTTGGAACTGATTACAATTTCATAAACAGAAATGATAATTATCTGTTAATTGGTGAGGAAGGTATTTTTCTTATTTTAATATTTTATAGAATCTAATTTAACTTCAAAATATTTAAATTAAACAAATCAAGTATTAAATTCAACCGAGATAATATATAAATACAAGTTAATATTTCATTCACTTCCATTTTTAACATTGTTGCAGAAATTGTGCCACGCCAAAGTACTTTGTAAATGACCAGACTTTTGGACTAGGTCAAGTACTGTTACTAATATAAAAACACACACATTAAATTGTTTTGTGTGTGGGTGTTATGTACACATTATGAAACTTAAGAATACCCTGGGGAACACAATATTGATAAATTCAATTATTTCTCCATCATCTATTCAACTGTACACAAATACTTGTACCAAATAGTCATTCAAATATATAAAGTAAACATAAGCATGATTATTAATTTTGGGTTAAATGCATTTATTTGTTCTCATGTAAATTATGTATTCAGAATCAATAATACACACAATGTGCAATTCTCCACTCCTTAACAAAATGCTGGTAAAGGCAATAACTCGTCTATTATTCCTGATGATGACATAATTAATGTCGAAATACTGAATCCCAACACGATGGCGTGTATTTCAATACTTGGAGTATGTATTATACTTTCGTCTATTATATACTTTCAAATGCATAATTTGCCCTAAACAGTATTGTAATGTAATTAAGTGCTACAAATTTCCTACAAATTCAAAGCATTTTATTTTCTTCCCATGTCTTTTGTAGGCATTCAGAAGCAAGCATACATCAAGCTTGTAGGAAGCATATATTATTGGTCCGGCCAACGTACATGTACAATATGTAATATTCTCCATTCACAAAAAAAATGTTGGTGAAATTCAAAATTGGTAAATGCAAGCATCTACATTTTTTTTCACAGTTGTTGAATTATTACTTGTTTTTGGCAAACCATTCAAAAAACACTAAAGAATACAGTATAAATATTTAAAACGGTATATCGAAAAACAACAAAAACATTCAGTCAAAGATAAAAAATCGTACATTGAAGTTTTTATAAAAAAAAGGTGTACTGTAAAAACATTCTATAAACTCATTTTATTTCCTCTGGATTCAGAATCAATACTACACAATGTGCAACCTCCCAGATGCCTTGGGAGTAATTATCATCATCATTTTCATTCACTGTAGTATGTGCATATATTTACAAGGCTATATTTACATTGGTTAAATGTAGTATGCATATATTCTCAATCAGAAGTGTAGCACTTCCACTTCCAAGATGAACAGATTTTTTGTAGATTACTTTCTCCTTTTATTTTTACTTTTTTCTCTTTTCTCAAAAAATGGATTTCATTGGATTTCTAAAGCAAAAATAGAAGTTTATGCCATTTTTAAAAGCGCCAGAGTAGTTATTTGCGTTGTTAGTGATCGATGTCACTATAACAATGTGACTTCACTCACGTTTTTAGAAACTGCATACACAGTCGCGTCGAGTGGTTAGATGATTTTGAAAAAAATTCTTACGTTAAATTTTATATTTATTATTGAAAAGTACTGCAAGATTGCAAAAATCGTTATTTTTGTTTATGATGAAACAATCATAAAAAAAAATGAAATACAGTATATTCACCCAATCATATTCCTGATTCTTGCGCAACCATCCAAACTCCAATAAAGTCATTATAAGAACTTTCTTCTCAAAAAGGGTGTAGAGTTTAGCACAACAATGCTCAAAAGATAAGCTTGAGCTGTGAAATGAAATATTGACATTATTATACTTAAATTGTTAGCTATAGTCAAATTATTATACCATCATTATTATTATTATTAGTAATATTATCATCAGTATTATGACCACTAATACAGGTCTCCCTCCAATTAAAGACCACTTTTGGGACCGGGGTTTACATGGTCTTTAGCAGCTATGGTCTCTAATTAGAATAATAAAGATAAAAATTTGTTACTTTGGGACCTTAGAAACATGGTCTTTAATTGGAGGTGGTCTTAAGTTAGAAGAGACACCTGTATTTTAAGCCTGTTGAAGTACTGTTTTCATCTATGAAGTATTTTCCTTTTTTTTATAAATTACAGTAGTTTTAGTAATTATAAACTTGATTTTTTGTAAAACAAATATTTGCTGACTGTTCAATATAAATGTGTTCATTATGACTTATAGATTATTTTTATGATATAATAAAACATTTATACCACAATATATTTACTTATCAATTACTATTTTTTATACCATTATGATAATTTTTTGTTTTAACTATTAATATATAATATAAATACATTAATATATTATGTGAGTATACTCAACCGAGTTTATGCACAGTAACAGAAGATGATGAGATGATATTAACATATATATATATATAT